GAATGCTGCCACGCAGACAGCCAGGGCTCCACGTGCTCCTGTGTAACATGGGGGGCCGTGGCCTTGGGGCCTGGCAGAGCAGACACTGGGGGCAGAGCAGGGGTGGGGCGTGACCCCCTCCCGCCCTCCTGTGCCTGCCAAGCCAGCCGAGGCTCCATGGGGGCTGGAGTGGTCAGGCTGGGCACCGGCCCTCGTCCACACCAGACCCATGGGAGTGGGCGTGGGACAGGCAGCGGGGGGGGGGCGGCCAGCAGTAGGACCTACCGGGGCGTCTGTGTAGGGCTCTGGCGGTCTCAGCTCCGGGGCCGGGGGCAGGCTGTGCGGGGCTCGACCTTGGAGGCAGCAGGAGCACCTCCAGGGACCGCTGGACGCGCCAGGGGCCGCAGGCAAGGCAGGGACGGAGCACCGTCAGGGCCTGAGAGCCCCGCGCGTCACCCAGCCCTTCCATAGGCCCGGGCGGGGAGGTGGGCAGAGCCAAGGGCGGCCATCAGGGCACTCCCGCCAGCGGCCAGTGTCCTGAGTGTCCTCTGAGGAGCTCTGCCACCCCCTGGGCTGGGCCCCTCTGGGGCACCGCGCCCCCCCACCCCCACCCACCCCCACGTGGGTCCAGAGCCTCCGAGGGTCGAGCTTCGACGGGCGGATCACCTGGGGACCCCGCGCAGTGGCGGGGACAGGCAGGCCAGGTGGAAGGCGCGGGGACAGCCGTCACAGCAGATGAGCTCCCCGCCATCGCGGCACACCGCACACTCGTCCTCGTTCTTCTGAGCGGGCCGGAGGGGCTCATGCAGACCCAGACCCCGGGCAGCGCCAGCCCGGACCCGCTGCCAGTCCCCCCGGCCCCTGCCCGCCGCCTCCAGGCTCCCGTCGGGAGGAAGCACCCGCCTCGGGCAACAGGCCAAAGGGCCCAGCACCCGGGTTGGCCTTGGCTGCCGCTGTCCCGCCCCCCCGCCCCCCCGCCAGGGCTTCGCCCTCCTGGCCTCCCCCTGCGTGGGCTTCTCCCCTGCCAGGGCACTTCCAGCGTCCACCTCCTGAAGAGACGGCAACGAGGCCCAGGGCGGATGCACCGTCCCCAAGGAGCCTCGGGCTCAGGCCACTGGTCCGCCACACACGCACCCCCAATTTGTCTTTCAGATCTCAGGTCCTCACTTCCCTCACTTACTTGAAACCTTCCAGTTGTGCTATCAGAAAACAAACCACGGCCAGAGGAGGAGGAAGGATGGGGGGACGGGAGGGGGAGGGGAAGGGGAGATGAAGAGGAAGAGGAGGAGGAAGGATGGGGGATGGGAGGGGAAGGGGAGATGAGAAAGAGGAGGAGGAAGGATGGGGGATGGGAGGGGGAGGGGA